AATCTCCCCTGGAAAACCGAGCTCTGCATCAATATGCTTGCAGCCTTTTTCCTACATACTCATAGATCTTCTCTTCTTCACTTCTCCCATGATCTTCTCAGCTGCAGAGCTTTTGTACTTTAATGGGTTTGCTCATTCTCTCTTTATTTCTCTTGTGTTTCTGACAAAACAGTGAGCTGCCACGCTGCGAGCCATGACTCCTCCGCCTGTGGCCAGGATGTAAAATCGACGGTGTGACAACAAAGGCCATAACTGAGCGACAGCCATTGTGCAGTCCCTGTTCTACCATACATTCTGCAATCAAAGTTACACATGAAAACACTCTTGAGTTGTCCTTGACTACTAAGGAAACATTCACATTTCAGTTTTATAGTTGCGTCTGAAGCAACTGTATCGTCCTTTCAACAATATAATCGCTCTTATTTGGTTAAGATTTTATGAATGATGACACTGAGCCATCTGGCCTACCTTTTACAGTTTGCGCACACACTTGAAACTGTTAATAACACGACTTCACACACATTTCTGGTCCAAATGAGTCATCTCACATCCTCATAAAAAACTCTCTCACCTTGCCTGAATCAGCTCCTGTGACCTGTGAGGATTATGAGGCCGACTTTAGTGTTTCTACAGACACAGTGTCTCCTGTGCATGTTCGTTGGTATATGCGTGCCTGGCGTTGTGGGCTCACTACCTCACGCACTACCATGGCACGTCTCCTGCCCGGTGCGGTGTGTTTGTCAGATCAAGCCGTGGTTCTCTCCTGATTCTGTCTACCATGAAGCTCCAACTGTGGATTGCAACGACCTGCTGTTGACCAAGCTCCCCACACCCATACCCACGAACACACACACCTTGCGCCTGCAGAGTAACCTTCTGTCTGAGCTCGACACTGTGGTGCTGCACGGCCTCCCCAACCTCACTGACCTTGACCTTTCCCAGAATCGCTTCAGCCGTGTCAGGTCAATAACTCAGAGCTCCTCCCTGCCCTCTCTGCTGTCGCTACACCTGGAGGAAAACCATCTCAGTCGCCTCCCTGATGCCTCCTTCTCCTCACTGCCAACTTTGCAGGAACTCTTTCTCAGCCACAATAACTTACACTCAATAGCACCTGGAGCCTTCACAGGCCTGGACTCCCTACTGCGTCTTCATATCAACAATAATAGACTCACCACTGTTGACCCTCGGTGGTTCAGTGCTTTGCCTCGCTTGGAAGTTCTCATGCTTGGAGGAAACCCTGTGGAGGCGATGCCTGAGCGGGGCTTTCTGGCCCTGAAATCCCTCCGGAGTCTTGTCCTTGGTGGTATGGGTCTAAGAGGCTTGACTGAAAAAGCACTGGAAGGGTTGGAGGACCTGGAGAGCCTCTCCTTCTATGATAACCTGCTGACAAAGGTCCCCACTCAGGCCCTGAAGAGAGTGCCAGGACTGAAGTTCCTCGACCTCAACAAAAATCGCATCAAACTGATCGAGACAGGAGACTTCCGAGACATGGTCCACCTGAAGGAGCTCGGCCTGAACAACATGGAGGAGCTGGTGTCCATTGAGAAAGCCGCCCTGGAGAACCTTCCAGAGCTCACCAAGCTCGAGATCACCAACAACCCGCGACTCTCGTACATTCATCCACAGGCTTTCCACCAGCTAAGCAGGCTGGAGAGTCTAATGCTCAACTCCAACGCTCTGAGCGCTCTGCATCAGCAAATCATGCTCTCCCTGCCGAGTCTTCAGGAGGTTAGTTTACACTCCAACCCACTGCGATGTGACTGCCTGTTTCACTGGGCAGCCGAGGAGGCCTCTCATCCTCAAGACACGCAAACGGACACACAAACACCTCGGATGGTGCGTTTCATCCAACCCCAGGCCACGCTGTGCTCTGAACCCCCAGAGCTGAGAGCTCGCAGGGTGAGGGAGGTGTCCTCCAGGGAGATGTCGGCCTCATGCCTCCCCATGATCCCTACCAGCTCCCTCCCCTCCTATGTTGGAGTAAGAGAAGGAGGAAAACTGGTCTTGCATTGCAGAGCTCTTGCAGATCCACAGCCTAAACTGTCCTGGGTGACTCCGTCTGGGCTGAGACTTGGTCCTGTACCTAGCCATGCATCCAAAGGTCTAACAGCTCCTGCTCCCTGCCACAGCATGGCAGCCTCTGAAGGATTCAACCACACGTCTGCTTTCCGCGTCTCTCCCAGCCAAGCTAAAGATGATACTCCTTGTAACCCCTTCAAACACTACCGGCTACTGCCTGAGGGAACTCTGGAGTTGAACAAGGTCACCCTTAGCGATGCAGGATTGTATACCTGTGTAGCTGAAAATGCCCTGGGAGCAGATACACGCAGTGTTTCTGTGGGTGTGCATGGCAGAGAAAAGAAACGAAAGAGGGGGATGGCTGCTAATATGAAGGAATATCCACTATTCAGAGCAGATGCCAAATTGGAGGTGAGGGAAGTCGGACAACACTATGCTATCCTGTCTTGGCAGAGTGAGCACAACCTCCCTTCAACTCGTCTATCCTGGCAAGCCATATACTCAAATGCACACATGCCCACATACACCACACGCATCCTGGCTGGTACACAGAGCTTCAACCTGACCCACCTGCAGGCAGAGACATTTTATCGAGTGTGTCTACATTTAGGGATCAGTGAGGGCGCCAAGCATGCCAGTAGGAGATCAAGAGAGAGCAGAAGAACTCATTGTGTTTCAGTCAGGACAAAGGATGTCCCAGAGCCTCCGCCCAGCCTGCAGCTAAGCCCAGAGCTGACCTCCACAGCAGTCACACTACTGCTCCTCGCACTCATACTGCTGCTGCTGGCAGGCCAGGGCTGGGACACTGAGCCAGGGGAGGGGGCAGGAAAGCACCACAGTACCATCCGCCAAGAAATCAAACGTCCCAAGTCTCTGAACATAAACCATAAGACAGAAGGGAGCAACGAACATCAGCTAAAGCAGAGTGAGAAACTGCTATTACATCAGGACTGCTGAGATAATTATGTTTGTGCACATTCAAAACAGGACAAAAAACATTCTGTAACACACACACATACAAAATGTCAAATATACAATTTGTGAAACTCAGCTAAAAGAGAGGAGTCATAGATCAGATCAGTGGTGTAGAAAGAGATTTGTATTTATTTTATATACCATATAAAGTATATTATTGACATTGTTTCTGTGTTAAGATGTGTTGTAAAGAATGCCTAAACCCTAACCAGGGAAACTGGACAATCATGCTCCTACAGCAGAGTGAGTGAACGCAGGAGAAACAAATGAGTCCGAGCTGCCGGTGGCCACTGGACTGAAACTAAAGACAACTGGATTCAGTCCAGGGACAGATACTTCAGTCCTCCAGGGTATTTGTCTTCTTTCTTGTTCCACAGACTGAACCATAATTTCTCCAAACAGACGAAACTCTGTCTTGAGACTGAAACTGCATTTAATTCCTGCACTGATGTAAACAACCTGTTTGCTTAGCTTTCAGTACCTTGGACTGGGTTGTCTATCATGCAGTACATACAAAGTATACTCATCCAGATTCCCATGCCTAACGCCCCCACATCCTCTTTCAGTATAAAAGTGATCTAAAAGTGATGTGTTAAATTCTATTTTGAGCAATTATACAATAAAATCTTTTTAATTTACACAATTTTACTGTTTGTTTCTGTTTTCTTATCACACAATTTAGTTCAGATTATACAGAAAGTATAATGATTATCTGACAGGGGATTAAATCAATAAACAGTGGTGTAAAGGTAGCATGATAGATGAGAGTCCTTCAACCAAACTCTCTACTTAAAATTCACATTAGGGATTCATCTGCAGCAAAACTCCCTGTTTATCTGTATGCAGTTGCTCCACAGTAGGAATACATATGATAATGCCCAGGACAGGACACCTACTCAGTAAACACAAGACACAGTCTGTCCCCTGCTGGATAAGACCTGGAACTGAGGGGGACTTCAGCCAGGTTAAAGGATAAGTAATTTGAAGTCTGTCCTACTACGGTACTCACATGCCCATTTGAATGTCGACTTACTGGTCACTGAGATCATTCCTTCTCTCCATGCTGGAGGTGAAGAGATCCCTTCCTTGTATCCCACTAATGTAAGAGAAGGGTGACTAAATCCATAGTCTTATTTTGTGTAGAAATGACTGCAGAGGATCCGCCACAGGTAACATGAGGTTTCAGCAACTTGAGTTTGTCAAATCAAGTGATTATCTTTAAAAGTTAGTCTTTTCATTCCCTCTTACATACATTTCCATATCCATTCTCCTTTCACTTACATATATTTCTACTCACACACTTCACACTTTACTTTTCAACACATACAGTACGTGCATTTTCAATAATCATCATAGCCTTTTCCCTAGATAAAATAACAAATGTTAATTTTAGTTTTTTAAATATTGTTTCTGAACAGCTGCATGTTATTCTCAGTGCTTCACTAAGTACATATATTCAAATACTGAACTTCAATAAATATTTGTACTATTAAAGTACTTGTACTTTACTGGACTATTTCCATTTTAAGCTACTTTATACTTTGACTCCACTACAGGGAAATACCGGTATGTACTTTTACTTCATTATATTTATTTGATCATGCAGCTGCAAGTTACTTTACAAAAAATATTTTACATACAGAAATAAAATGAGCTTGTAAATTGGGGGTCTTGCTTTACAGAAAAACAAACTTCCACTGTTACCTTTACTAGTAAACAAACAAAACAACTTCATAGTGCTTACAAAGGTCTGAACTCCACAGGTAACGTACAAGTAACAGATCTGAATACTTACATACTGCTTGTTTCTTTTTCATGAAATTAGCACTGCAGTAAAACAGCTCCATATTCGTATTTATCGTCTTTGAGAAACACAAATCCAGATTTCCTAAAACTCATTCGCTTTAATTATATAAATGAATATACAATAATATGTGACTGAATAAAAACAGGCTGTGTCTTTTGCGAAAAATAAACAAGGAAAAACACTGGTCATTAAAAACAAATTTTCAACAGTAGTTAGACTTTGTATTTATTCACACAAAACATAATACATTTTCTTCAATAAGGCAACACAATACTGTATATACATACAATGATCTATATGTATACCATATTTAGATTTTGTTGTTATTTCTTAACAACATGGCATTCTTTACCATCACTAGCAAGTGTAAATAAATAGTTTGAGAAAAAAAGAGTACCAGATGCGAAAACTTCAAGTCATACTATTAGTACATCCAATGCAACAATCCGTTGCTCACTGTGGTATTGATATATTTTAGCTGCAGTTGTGATTTTCTGAGAGCAGCTTAAGGGTTCGATGACTTACTGGAATGAAGAATAACCCCTTTAAGCAGTTAAAGGTGCCCTGTGGAGTTTTCTTGCAAACAGAAATGTTTGTGCAAACAGGTGTGTTTAAATTCAGTGTTCCTCACTAGAACACATTATGTGTGTCTTTGAGGAACAAATGTGTTGAATGTACACATTTCCTTCTCCATACAACATTTGCACAAGGTATTCTTATGTATTTAAAATCCTGTATTGTTTACATCTGTATTTACTAGCAAGCAGTCTTCTTCTACCCTGCCTTTGTTGGCGTATTGCTGCATTTCACACAAAATAAACAAGACAAGGATATTATAGCACTATTAGTTAAAAAAAACTTCACAGGGAACCTTTAAAATCTTCAACATCAGTTAAAAATCAAACTGAAAAACATTATTTGAAAAAAAATCATTTCAAATATATTCCTTTTCACAACAAGAATGGGAACTTGTATTATTCCCTTTAACAATAAAAGATACAATAACACTGACATCATCATTAGGTGCTGGAGTGGGTGTCGTTCCTAAACAATATGGGGTGCTTTAAAAAATGTGTTTTCAGTGTGAAATGTCCTTCCACTGTAATGAGCATGTTGAATGCACTGTACAGATTGACGCAAAGTGAAAATGCTATGCTAGTTCGATACCCATTCTCTTCACAGCTGAGAAGATTGTACAATCATTTACAAAAATATACTTCTATTCTGCTTTAACAAATGATAGCAGTGATTAGTAATGGTTTAGAAGTTGACAGCACATTAAGTGACAAATGTTTAGAACCAATAACACAATGGAAATAAGAAAATGACATCAAGCAATAGTACTATAATTTAAATCACTGTATACAAAGCACACAAACTGTATGCTCATATGTTACACGAGCAGGACTAAATGCTCCCAATGCCCGATGCTGTGTCACTCAGCTATTTCTGACCTGCTTCAGTTCATTTGAGGGTCGTGCTTCTGGCACGTCAACCAAAACAGGAAAATAAAGCTGCTCTTTTGTCCCCATTTGATGTGATAAAAATCTGAAATCAAGCCTCAAAACTGCTGATTAATTCTAACACTAGGGGCATCTCTTGGAATATAAGGTAAGTTTGTTTTAAACAAAATGGTTGTACCGAAGAGAAACACCACCGTAACTTGTCACTATAATCACTATAATATGGTAACACTTTATTTTAACCCAAACCCAATTCAGCATTTATAAGCAGTAGATAAACAAATACTAAATGGTTAATGACACACTATAATGTAGCAATTTATTAGAGAAAGGTACTTTATTGTAATTTTATTGTCACATATAGCAAAATTTATTCTTTGCATTTAACCCATCCCTCAAGGGTACAGTGGGCAGCCGTTGTGCAGCGCCCAGGGACCAACTCCAGATCTATATCAGTGTCACTGGTCAATCGCACTGACTGAAGAACCTGACATGTTTTTGATGGTGGGGGAAACCGAAGTACCCGGAGGAAACCCCCGCAGACATGGGGAGAACATGCAAACTCCACACAGCCACCCGGGATCTTCTTGCTGTGAGGCCACAGTGCTATCCACTGGACCACCACTGTGCACCATGCCGCCTTCATGTAGAATGAAGCATAGCAAGTGTTTATCAATGTCTATGTTTAACAGTTGTTACTCCTCCTATGAAGCATTCATACCTGGTGTATGAACAGTGAATGAACATTTGATTACACAGTATAACATGACATAATCATATATTGTCAGTACATACACCTACATATAGTTTTAATCCTACATGTATACAGTACATCGTTCATGTAAACAGTTAATAAAGACACTGTAAAATTGTTACTGTATTGTTAAAATACTGTAAGCCAACATATGACTAATAGATAATATTGAAGATATATGATTATATATTATTAATTAGCTATGTTATACTGTTCATCAAACATTCATTAACATCAGACACCAGTTATGAATGCTTCATAGGAGAAATCATAGTTTAAGACAAAAAGAGTTAGTACACACTCATTATAGTGTGTTATTCATATACTGCGTGTAAATGCTCATATTAAACAAACTATAAATTGAGTGTATGACTGATAAGGCAATGCAGTGACTATGATTCAACAAAAAGAGTCCTTTCATTTAAGTTTTTTAATGTGCTGGATGTCAGTGCTTTGGCCCTGACTTCCATGAACATCATACTACTGAAATGTTGAGATTATTCCTCTCAACATACACAACTTACACTAAATCTCAAAATGTGCACAAACAGACATACACACACAGACACACACTCACGGATGTATAAAGTAGGCAAGGGCATCGTCAAAAACCCTCACACACCACATTCAAATCAATGGGAAATGTTTACTCGCGCTGCTCAACAGGCTATGAAAAGGTGTGTAAGTCTGAGGAGAGAAGTGAGTCAAACGATCTGGAGCAGCATCAATATTGAGTAAACACATGCCGTAGCAGATACATGCTGCCAGCACCACTTTTATGCAGCTGAAATGATTAGTGTTATGATTGATTGGTTGATCGATATATACAGTTAATCTATGTCTTTTATTTTTTTAAAGCAAAATACAACAATTCACTGGTTCCAGCTTCTCAAAAATGACAATTTGCTGGTATCTTAGTCTTCCATAAAAGCAAACTGAGTTTCTTTGCGTTTAGGAAATTTAGCAGAACAAAACAAGAAATTTAAATTCTGGAAAACATTTGGTGGGTACTAAGTGATTGTGAAAATAATCATTAGTTGTAGCCCTGGGCTTTTGTGTCCCAGTATGATAGACATGATAAACGCAACAGAAGTAGGGATTATCCTTCCAGCTTATGTGCTTTATGTTAGCTGATTTTTTTTTAAATTACATATGTACTTGTCTTTATCACTGAATTTTAGCACAACATTTTTTTTCTGAACGCTCAAATACTGAACTGCTGATCTTATATAACATTAAGGAGACCAAGATGGACAGCAGGATGGTTTATGGTTTTACGATTAGGGAGGCCGTCCTTAAACCAGAAACGTCATGTTCGACCCTCTGTGAGATCAACTATCCCTCCTACTGGAGTGACCTTGAGCAAGACACATGCTGAATCTCATGTCAGTGTGTAAACTCTCAGCCCACTCACTCTTCTCTGTATCACGTTTCACAGTATGTCTGTCACGAGGTGCGACGGACAGAATCGAAGTAAACACAGTACTAAAGCCAGAATGGTGGTCACTTCATCTTCTGTTGCTAAGTTACCATGGCTAGCATAGCATGGCTTGACTGACCAGCCACGATTTTACTAAAACATACTTGAGCGAAGACTAATTTGCAAATTTATACAGCTTGTCATCCATATAGACCATCAGGCACATTACTTAACTTTATAGGCAGGTTTATCTGTTTAAATAGCAAAGAATGGGGAATACAAATCCAGACGCTGCCTGGAGACTGCACTGATAAATGGGATTCACTCATTGAATCTCTGCCACCTCCAGGAGTACGGCTCTGTAGTGGACCCTGACCTCTGAACTCTGTGTGAAGCTATAAACACATTTCTCCTATTTGACGAACCATAGAGCATCACAAACACAGATGAAAAGAAGTCTCCAGGGTTCTCAAATGGAAAAAAAAAATTCAAAGTAACATTGTCCCGGTGTGCACAGCTGCAGCTAAATTCATCAAAAGATCGAGATTACTCGTCCTTGACAAGCACATACATGCATTGCAAACACTCACGCACACACGCACATCTCAGCTGTAGTTGTAGGTGAAGTTATACGAGCTAGGCTCCTTCGGGACGGGGGGCGGGGCTTCAGGGATTGCGATGTTCTCAAGGTCGAGGAGGCGGAGCTTCATCTCCATGCTGATGAGAGTATCTAGATCACTGCGTGTCAGGTCACTGCCCATCTCTCTGCCCAGTAGCGCGCACAGTCCGTCAGTCCAGATGCAGTACTGCTCCAAAAAACATCACACACACACACACACACACACGCACAGAAACATACATGAAGGCTGAAAATAGTGTGTCAAAACTGCTACATGGTACTATGTAAGGGAGAATACCCTAAAACTTTTTTAGCCACTGGGGTATAAAGTGGTTACACCAAACATGAAAGCAAAAAGTTGCCTATTTACATACACGACAGACAGGAAGCAACATTAGCATTCATTTGCAGTTGTGTTTCTGGCCAGCTCACAGCTCTGTTTTGGTCTCCACCAACTCCTGAGGGAAATATCTGGCTATTTAGCTGTTAAGTGCTCCAAGTTAGCTGGTCACTAACTGTGTCTGTCTGCTGTGTTGTATTGGGCAGGTGGGTTTCTTTTTCAGTGCCTGCTACAACTGGAAGCGTAGTTGATGAAGCCAGTGAGACTGAACCAAAACACTGCGAACTGTGAAAATGGTCTTTTCGTCCGACCTCCCGGTCTTAAAAGTGAAGCTAATGCTGAAGTGCCATTAACCTGCATTCTATTGAATGGCCAGCAGGGGGGGACTCCACTGGTTGCAAAAAGAAGTCTGGTTCCATTAGAAATAATGGTAAAATTATCTTACTTCTCACCTGATTCATTACCTCAGTAAACACTTCTCTAATGAGTTTATGATCTCAATCATTAGTTTCAAGTCTTCTTCAATACAGCATGATGTTCATTTAGTAAATTATGGTCTCATTTGGAGGAAAATAGATGATAAATTAGGGTATGCTTTAGGGCGGGACAACCTTGTGATTTTTGACAATTTGTTACCATGGCAACCTATCAATCATACTAGAAGCAACTCATATCCATTGCACTGAGAAAATCACCAAGCAAGCTAGCTTCTCGTCCAAATATCGTCACGTCCGGCGATCGGTTACAAAAAATCAAAATGGCGTCAGCCAAAGTGCCAAACTTGAGGCTTCAAATTGTTGTTCATACAGAAATATTGAATATTGCAGCTTTAAGCTTCACTGTTGCTGAGCTTACCTCATACTTGTTGGGTGCAACAAAATTAAGAGTCTCATCGGGATCGTAGAGGACAGAAAAGGCTAACTCCAGCACCTCCTGAGAGAAACAAACGAGACAAACAACGCGATGTTCCTACACTCAGTGACAACAAGGAAGAGAACACCCATGTGACTAGAATGATACAGAATGAAAATCATGTTACCTTGTTTTGTTTCAGAGCACTTTTCTCTTTCATATGAGGACAGTCTTTCCCGGTCACCACAGACTTGATATCAGAGATGGGGACTAGGAGGAATAGAAAAAAAAGCAATTTAATAATTAGAAAAGTTTATTAATGCCAGCCTACTGACTGATCAAATATGGCCTGCTAGTGGATTAGTCATCACGTGTCTTATAAAAAAAAGAATCTTACTCTTGTCACTGAGTAGCTCAAAAGGCACTTCACCCTGAGGTGACTCATCAAGGTCCCCATAGTGCAGCACTTTGTGATTCAGTGAGAGTCTGCAGAACCAAAACTTCTCTACAAAAGAGGCAGTGAACACAACATTTAGATCACAATCAACATCAGCAGTACTCCTACAGTATAAAAAACGCAAAGTGTATTGATACTGTATCTACCTTGCCTTCGGCGGTTCCCCAGTTTACGAAAACAGCTTCCCTCACACAGCCGGTTGAGTCGCTGCTGCTTGATGAGCTCTAAGATCTCGGGCTGAATTCTCTCCCGCAGCTCACTGTAGCACAAATGCACCATAAGCAACAAGGACAAACACACATGCACACACAAATGTGTACAACACTACACTATTTACTCGTACAGGGACAGAGCAGGGCTGGATTTAAGATGAATTAAGCAGCAACAAACAATCTGTCGCTGAGAAAAGGGTAAAAGGTAAAAATCTAGGTGGTAAAAGTCTACAAACAGCCAGGGTCAAAACTTTGACACCACAATCAGAGGTACTGCATAAACTGACATGATTGGTGGAGACTGGAAGTCATCTTGGCTCATTCTTTCTGACTGCCTCAGACGCAGAATCTCTGAATAGTTGAGGCCTCGCAATTTATTCTTCAGCTGGTCTAAAGATGACGGCTTCATCGCCAGAGCCCTGGTGATCTGCTCACGGACCACCTGCATCACCTGGTCAGGGTTTAAGCACACACACACACACACATAATGAGTGAGGAAAGGTGGAATAGAAACACACCAGACTTCCTAAGCATTACGAGGTGACTGACATGGTGTAGTGTTCTCATCACTTGGCAGATCTGTCACATGTCCAGACCATGAATAATATTGTTACAGTTGTAATTCACAAAACCATTATTTTCCTATCCAGAAACTCATTCTGCTGACAGACGTCTTTCCTTATCTGAAGGCATGAATATTTAAAATCTATACTTATAGTCCCAGGTGTTCTATAACAACAAATGTCGAGTTTTAAATCTGGGCATGGTACTTTGAACTGAGATTGACACCATTAAGAACTGTCATGTGTTATTAAATAAACCAAAAACCTTTCAGCCGTCAGCTTCAGTTGGCTGCTCAGTCACAGACAGCAGAAGAATAAAACAGCTATAGCAGTTTTTAAACATGTTTAAAGGCCTGACATCACTCCCATTCATGCTGAGCAAGCCTCATCTGGAGGGATGATTAAGGTTGATAGCAAGTTAAACGTTGCATCATCCATCACCTCTTTAAGTGTGCTCTTTTTTCACATAAAAGTACTTGACTAGCAGCGTTTGTGTTGCTTTTTCATTAGAGCTAATAACATTTTAGAAGAGTCAGGCTGTACTTTGCTTTGAGCAAAATGCAAATGTCCGCAGGTACAATGTTTACCACGTTCACCATGTTAGTTTAGAGTGTTAGCATGCTAACATTTGCTAATTAGCACTAAACATAAAAGCACAGCTGAGGCTTATGGAAATGTCATTATTTTGCGCTAGAAAGTCAGGAGATCACCAAAGTTATTACAATTCATCCTGAGGCTGACATGAATGTGTGTACCATATTTCATGGCAATCCATTCTTAAAGCCAAAAAGTGTCAACCTCAACAACCTTGGGTTGTAGAGGAAAAGTAAAACCAGAGTCAGTAGGACTCACTGTTTGGGGACTATGAATTTTTGTACAACAATAAAGCAGCACATATGCAAAAGAGTAGAGGAGAAATTGTGCATCATGCAAATTATCATTTAACTGATCAACTGACTTCATTTTATTATAGGTTGCCAGTTTTTTTCTTGATCTTCCCTGATCACTTTTGCTGTTTCGACACTCAGAGGTCGCAGCTGAGTTTTTCTGTCTTAGTCCCAGTTCTCTTTTTTGAAATGGTCATTTGCATTCAAATTGCAATTACAGATTTTAAGTAAATATAAAGCAGCACAGTTTGGATATTTGGCTGTTACAGCAATACATCTAAAGATTCTTAGTTATGCAGTTCATTCATTCACTCAGCCCTTTAGTTTGGGTGCTTCCTTTGATCATGCCTAAATAAATGCAATATATTGTCTCTATTTCACCTCTGTTGAAATTGTAAAAGATTAGATTAGTTATTCACTATGGTTGAATATATTTATCTGTGAAGTCTGGGTTAGGAGGAAGAAGAAGGAGAAGGAGAAGTATAAACTGAAAGCTGGGTCAACGCACAGAATGTAAACATCTATAATAACAAAAAAATAAATAACAAAAACAATATATATGGATGTATTAAAGATGACTGTCAGAGAGCTTTAATCTCTGACCTTATTGAAGTCCTCAGCTGTGGCCCTCATCTCCTTCCAGGTTTTATTAAGCAGCTGGATGCAGACACAGAAGAACTCCTCCCACGCACGGTCATGAGTGAAGAACATGGGGTGGTAGTCATTGCAGCCCTCATTGGCTACACAAAAGAAAATATTAAAATTATTAAATGAAAATCAGTATGAGAGGCTTTTTCCTCTCTTACACACAGTATCCTGTGTGTATACGTGTGTCATACCACAAATTCTGATGACTTCTCTAACTTCATTCCATTTCAGCAACATTTTAAGTGTGCGGATTATTAAAGGTACACCAGCTCCACCGCTTGTCAAATACAGATCTACTTACGCAATTCTCCAACCTGAAGTATCTCGCACAACATCCGAGTGAGCTCGATGGCACACCGGCCAAACGGACATTCATGCTTGTCTTCGCGGCTGCTGTTCTCCAGGACAATCTGTCATGATTGAGAAGACACGTTAAGTGTGGCTGACTTTTCTAACCCTGTGAGATGAGCAAAGTCATGCCTAACGCCACGACTAACCCTGATGTACGTGTCCTGGTGAACCTTTGCGAGGTACAGCATGTTGTCCAAAGCCAGCATCCCCGGAGGAGTCTGGGTGAAGTCCATGGCCGGGTTCACATGGTTCTGCATTTGAAAGAGAGAAAGCATGAGTCAGGAGACAATAATGCAAAATCTCTTTATACAGATGGTTTTACAATTATTACAGAGGTAACAGAGATTTGTAGCGAAGACTCACAGTGAACCCCAGCATCTTATAGTCCTTGGTGTACAAGGCCTTTCTCTTCTCTGTACCAGTGGGGTCATTTTCTCCATCGAAAGCGATCCTACGCAGCTCAAAAATGATGTCCCTTTGAGCCTGAACCACAGCAAGCCAACACATTATTAGCTTTTTAACATTATAGCAGCAAAATTATAAAGAAAACCAAAACAAAGTAAGGAGAATAAGTGGTCAGGAGATTTTCCTTGATCTATCAGGAAAAATACATCAGAAATGATGTTGCTGTCTGTGGAACTTTTACACTTTATATTGTGAGATGCAGTAAGTGCACTTTGTGCATTTAGGTTCAAATGCCATGTCTACACTTTAAACAAGCAGGACATTTATCATTTTCTAGTCCACTTTTTTCATTTAAATCAGATCCAATAGAGCGTAAAGCCAAATGAAAAAAGGTTGTACACACGCCACTAAAACAGAAAACATATTATCTAAATTTGTACCTGGTCATTAGGATCCATTTTGGTCATCATCCGCTCTTCCAAAAGGTTGAAGGTCAACACCTGCAGCACATAAAGCTGATGTGCCATTTCTGCTTTGATTGGTCGATTTCCTCTAATGACATGCTGAAAAAAAGAGCACTACGTTAAGTGCAAAGTCTCTATTAAGGCTCCGCATTTTCACATTAAATCACACAGCACAAAACAGGTAAAACAAAGAAAGAAAAGTCAAATAAATTGTTCTCCTCCACTGAAGGGGATTGTCTGCAACGTTTGGAAAAAGACTCAAGACAGAAAACTGGTGATGCAAATCATCTTTTATGGACTGATTGTGTGCCATGCATAATGTTTGTTATTATCAACTGCAACAAAAAAGGAAAATAAAATGACCAAGAAAATGAAGTGCCATCATAAAACACAATGTGATGAGTTCGACAGGAAAGCAGGAGTCATTAACAGAGCACACTGGAGCTGCTTCAGGAGGTTTCCCTGCTCCAGGAAGCAGCAGTGCAGCGTCTTCCTCGCTGAAATTTGCAGTCAGTTTAGTCAGGCAGATCCAGAAGAGTCGGTGCCTAAAGAAATCACTTTCAGAGCAGATTTTGTTCCACTTCATGGACTTTAATGCCAGGTCACATTTGATGGATCTGTGTCACAGCTCTCCAAGTGAGTAAATCTTGCCACTTTCCGGACTGCTGGTCCCGGGGATGAAACATCCAGCCCCCAACGGCCAGCAAGCCTCAACGCACGACAGTCTCAAAGGAGGTTGAACAGAAATATATTTTGTATGTAGAGAGTTTAAAGATGTTTTAGCAACTACTCCAACTACAACACAACCTCTGAGAAGTGATAAAATCCTGTGTTCACACCTGGATATTTCATAGCCGTCTGAAAGCCTAATAGCCAGTAGAGCAGACTCTTAACTGAAACAGCCAGAAACACATTGTTTTCTGCATTTTAGGCTTGATACTCACATTGAGGATGATGGATCGCAGGTGTTTCTGAGCCAAAGTGCTTGCCATTTCCTGGGGGGAAATAAAGAGATACATCAATTCAACGTCAGCTGAGGGAAGATGCTTTATTATACAGAAGAGAAATGCATATAGGCCACTTGACTCAACCTACAGTAAATGGGACCTTTAGACAAATTCTGAAATACAAAACTCTGAAGGTTTATGATAGGATCACACCTTCTGTAAAACATGACGACATGGTCTAACTTCAATCTGTCAACACGGTCTGTCTGCTGCTGCTGCAGCAAGCTATGGTTCTATCTCGATTTGCACGGATTATGCAGTGGCTTTCCGTGACACAGAAAGAGCGAGAGAGTGAAGGAGGAGAAGGGCTGTGGGGGGAGAGAAGATGGTACAGGAGGCATGTGTACTCACAGTGAGGTGCTGCTCCAGCGGGTTAGTATACTCCTCCTACAGGTTGGAGGGAGGGAGGAGGGACGTGGGTGTAACAGTAATGGAAACAAAGAGTGCACACACGGACAATGAGATATACAGGGATACATCACCGGCACAGCATGCGACGGAATAAGACCAAGAAACAACATATCAAATAAGAACATTAAGTAGTCAGGACATACTGAAAAAATGTTCGAAAACCTCACATGCGCTACATGCAGTGTATCACACAAGCACGCATTTATTGGTTTATCCAGCTGGTTTCAAAAAGGATTTCACAAGGCTATAAAGGGTGATCTTTAAATGTAAGCATGAAAAATCACTGTGGTGTCCTCACAGCTACATTAGCGGAGATGTTTATCCTTTAACTTTGGTCTGTGGAGGATTTTCTTCACTTTCACAAATCTGGAGTGATGGTGTGATGTGTTGGACGGTTTGCTGCATGATTTTTAAGGATTATTTTCAAAAAGTTACTCTTTGAAAACTATAAAAACTGCACAGGTGTGAAGAAAAGAAGTCCTGTCTAGTGTGCGTAGTGAGCTATAAACTTGCATTTAGTACTGTCAGTAATCAATTCAACAGTACAGTATGTACTGCAAGTGCCTCTGCTGTATTTATCCCAAAAAAACTGACTCAGTTTGCCCTCCAGTGGTCAACAAAGGCAGCTAGAGATGAAAGTTCGTTCAAGGACAACTGTCGAGTACATCGTGTGGCCCAAAAAAATAAATGAAATGTTAAAACCCACAATAAAATTAAAGCAAACACTCCACCTCCTCTTCTCACATCTAACCCCCGGCCCTCATTCCCACTCTCTTGCATTTTTCATTAGCATTTTCAAAACTGAGAGAGTTTTCAGTGATTTTTTTGAGGATTTGAGGAGCTTTCGCAATTTTGGCAAATAAATATTTTACTCTATAAATATTTTCAATCTCAATTCGGCCTAAATTCAGTCTAAATCTGTGATTTCTATTTAGGCTACTGAAGCATCGTTCACAGTCAGTTACAGGTGTGTTTTCCTCAACACAAACCAGTGACATCTCAGCATGTTATTGCCTCGTCCATGTGATTTTGTTGGCTTTTTTGTGACATTTGGCCAGATTAGATCAGATGATTTCTGGGTCTAGTATAGAACATCTTTTCCTATAGTACAAACGTGAAAATGCACAAAGTAACACATTATTTAACCTGTGGGATTAACTGACAAATCAAAGGTCAACATGAAGAACCCCAATTTATAAACGAGACACACACAGGACAAGACAATTCCTGAAGCGCTGCAGTATGCTAGTGCACTGTGTGAACTGGGATAGACGTTGTCACTGCAGGGTGAGCAGAGCACAGACAAATGAGACATTATGACGGTGATGAGTAACATACCGGACAGACATCTAAAAACTCACTCCTTTAGTTTTTGTACATTTGGCTGTGCTACAAAGATGTTTCAGAATCAGAGCACATCGGTTTGGGTTGTTTCTGTCTGACTCTGTAAAATCAAACTGAATGGCACTCAATCCTCTCAGTGTATTTTTGTTTACTCTCCATCATGAGCACATTGTAAAGAAGCAATTTTCACTGATTTCACCTACAAAAAAACTAAATTATAAAGTCATCCTTCAATTGCAGCTGGATGTCGGGTCTTCCTTGCTAAGCCATTCCGAAATAACTGCAGCACAACAAATGAGCAAACTTCAAAGGAAAGCAAGCTTTTTATTTATATATTCATTCTGAGTGAGTGTGTCATTACAGCAGTGACTGTCAGACAGACTCCACAACGTGACAGCTGGCAGACAGACGTCTATTGACGAGATTAGCTTTAGTAACTAACCCACAGCTGCCAGGGTGAGGCAACATCTGCAGCTCTCTGACACCAAAAAACAGGCCGCTGTTATAAATAAATGTCAGTCTATTATGTAAGGGTGGCTTTTTTTAGAGTGTAATGTGAGGATGAAACATTATTAGTAGTGTAGTTATATCTGTCTGTTATGTGTGCTCGGTCTAATACGGCACACTGTGTCGTGGGGTGCTCGGCACTGACCTGCCTCCTGTCCTCTGGTGCCTTCAGGAAAAGAGCGTTGATGAGGGCGATGGCATAGGTTTGGATCTCCTGGTTTGACCTGAAGGAATATCAAGTAACGCAACAACCAGTTAGAAGCATCGTGTTCCACGAATCTCGACGCAGAGGTCAAGCTACAGGCTAGCAACTATACTACTTAACAATTTATCTTAATTTTATCACTATTAATCCATGGATGGGTGCAGGATTTTTAGAGGCCACTCTTTCACACTAACAATTTTGGAATGATTCCCATGAGTAAATTGGAAGGACACTGGCAAAATCTCTATTACCTTAAAAAAACTAAAACCAACAATGAATTGATCCAACAAGTATTGCCTAGTAACCAAAACCTGATAAAGCTTATTCTTGTGTGCCATAGAGCTCCATTACTCTCCAAAATCTATTATAAACAAATCAACGGGCCACACTGTTGCATATACTGTTGTAAATAATCACTAGAGCACCAAATGTGAATTCATCTGCTGCTGAAAGTAGTCCCTAACAATGCACTACTTGCTTCAGTTTGAAAATTGTACATAAAGAGGGTTTTTTTTAGATTTATTTAATAGGAACTGATTACTTTGGGCTGAGAGTCATAAAGTAGGAAAGCATTAAGAGATGGACTTACACATTGTTGGTTTTTGTTTTTTCATGGGAATTGTTGACAATCAGACAATAAGATATAGAATAACACCGGCCTTGGTGTTGGATTGGGCTTATCTAAGCATCCTGAACTCACCCTTTAAATACCCCACAATGCTACAGTCACTAATCTGCCCCCCCATATCAGAGTGCATGAAGCCCCTGTGCGTGTGTGTGTGCTCACACTTGCAGGTGCCCGATGAGCTGTCCCACGGTGATCTCCTGTGCCACCCGATGGTAGAGGCTGTGGCTGTTGAGGACCATGCTCTCGAGGATGGCTAGAGAGCGCTGCAGGATGGACACGTCCACCATCGGCTGGTTCACATAGCCCGCGATCTGAGTGAGGACAGAGGAAAAGAAATCTGAATCTTTAACGTGTTGACCGTGCGACTCTAAGTCAATTCAGCTCGGCTTGAGTGTTTCTGCGTCAACCAAACAAGAGCGTCAAATCCTTAAAAAAATTTAATCACCACCGTCTATTGAAAAAATTTACTTTATCTGTAAAAGATCAATCAACAGAAAAAGTTTCCCCCTGAGTGACCGACTGAAGCCACAATAAAGAAAGTTTTCAGAAGAAAACCAGTCACATAGACACTGAAGAAGCTCCACATAATGCGAGCTGCTAGGCAACAGCCCCCACTCATTTCTGTCATGTAGGAAGAAAGAAAGGAAAAGTAATTGAATAAAAGTTTATTAATAAAAAGAAGTAAAGAGAAAGACCGTGACATTTTGAACCGTGGGGATTTATTGCTGTGACACTATTATGCACGGGATGAATTGCTCTTTTGTTGGGGGAGGTACCTGTTTGATGAAGGAGAGGGAGATGAGGTCCCAGGACACAATGCCATGATCCATTAGCTCCAGGAAGGCAGTGAGAGTGAAGGCAAGCATTTCACCGAAGCTGAGGGAAGCAAAGAGCAGTTAGCACAGGCCTTCGCACACCGTCGGACCCTGTCCAACTTTAAAGAAATAAAAATACATGTATCAAGAAGTAAAATCTGATTCAGCCATGGCCTCAGTAGCATAGCTTAAACATTCCCAGCACCAAATGCAGAGGATGAGCCTGGTGCTTCTTACACAGATAATGCTTCACACTGTCATCAACCTGCAAAACATCATAGCTTCTAAATCTAAATTTGCTGCTCACTGGGTGCCGCTCTCCACGAGACGCGCCAGTGTGCCGATGCCCTCCATGTTGATGAACTCTGTGGCGAAGGTTGGGTCTGCGGACAGCTTGGCGAGCTCCTTTAGAGCCTCGAGGCGAGCGTCGATGCCGTGGGATTGGATCCTCTCCAGGAGCTGACGAGCAGCACGAGCCTGTCAGCCACAAAAAAACATCACTTCCTTCATAGGTTTATCTCACACGCCCACTCACTGGATTATCACTTTTATCCAGGCTATGCCTCAGGTCGTTCTTAATAAGACCTATTTAAAGTACTCACTAAAGGTTTGTTGTTATATTTGCACATTCTGTTGGTTTCACACATATGAACACTAATGTACTGTCTCCACTTTCAGTGCTAAATAACCATAATGTTTAAGGGCTAACTGTTTAAAAATTACAGTTTTATATGTTTTCACCCAACACTGGGCGCCAGAGGTTAACTTGTCTCAGTCTATGCACTTCAAGTCTATGCACTTTTATATGTTTAGGCCTGTAGTTTATTTCTTATACCATCCTGCTGCTCACTCCTCTCACGCATGCGCACTCATACTGTAATTCCTGCTGATTATCTGGGCCTGTCAAATGTCGTCTGTTCTCATCAGCTGTTCACATCTCTACAATAGCACAGCAAGGCACCTACATTGTTTGCCTATCATCTTGCTGCTGTGCTTCTCTATATGATTCTCTCTCTGCCTTTAGTATGTTCATGCTGCTGTTAGGCATGCCTTCTCCACTTGCCCATCACTTCCCAGTCTTCGTAGATTCATCAGCTTCATCATTTCATCAGCCTATTAGCCTCAGCAGAGTCATCACCCCCAGTGTCTGGACTCCATGGGGGGATTTACGGTATCTCGATCACAAAAAAAAATTCTCCCTTACAGTCTAAGCGCCACTTTCTGTGAAAACTTGCAAATATTAATTTATAAGCTGGCAAAAAATGTTTTTTGAGTTTAGATTTCTTTAAAAGGCTAGCGAGAGAAACTTTAAACATAAAGGGCTCAACTGCTGGGAATCTAGGTGCAAACAACTACTTAAAATATAATGGGTCAAAGTTGAACCAAGAAGTTGGTCAATCTGTTTCGTTCTGATCCTTTTACTGTTCGCCTCATCTTTTCTTTTCAACTTGGGAATGTTTAAAAGATGAATGATTGTGAATGATTGCCTTCTGTTATTGTGATGTTATCACCTTGCCAGAACTCAGCAATTTACTTGGTGAGAATAATTATCTTATTTGCAGTAGCAATAATGGCCAAAGAAAGTTCCTTAAGAACAGCCAAGTGCACAGCGCATTGGGTAGAACTTTTGTTGTTTTGGTGGTGGAGGCGTGCAGAGAACACACAGAGCACTTGGAGGCAGGGTGGGACTAGGAAGAATATATTATCATACATTATTGAGTGTGTTGGAGGCTGGTATCAACCACAGCAAATCACATCAACTCCTTTCATCCTTTTAAAAGCAGTGCTCTCCCACCATGATGTGCTGACAGTCAGGTTATCGTGTACAGACAAGCGTGTCTTAAAGAGAAATTTTTCAAGACAAAAAGTTTGTGACACAGGCCTGCTCATAAGTAGGCTGTAGTGTTGTTTGTATGTGAAAAATCACTATATTTTGTTTTAAGGAAATTATGATTTTGAAACCTCCATATAAACACTAGGGCTGTGCGATATGGCCAAAACTGTTAACAATAAAAAAAATTCATATCATATTGATATCGATAATTATCACGTTAAATGTCAAATCATTATTTTAACCAGATGGTTAATTGTGGTTTTAAACTATTCTTTACGGTCAGAACATGACAAACACTTGGATAACTCAATTATTTGCTCAACCCCTCAGCCTGTTTTTATTTTCCATTTAACTCTTTTAACCCTGATTGTACACTGCACTGTAACTTTTATTATTTTTTTAATGTGTATTTTTCAATTTCCCTATCTTGCTTTTAAACGTTTTTATATTTCCCTGTTGCTTTTATGTTTTATGTAAAGCACTTTGAATTACCTTGTTGTTGAAATGTGCTATACAAATAAACTTGCCTTGGCATGGTGCCAAACAGTGGATCACTTAACAAATCTGAGGTAGAACATGCACAACAATAAGCGGAAGTAGCGTGGGTGCATGGGCCGGCCGACCCAGGGCCCCAGCTGGTAGGGGGACCCTATGGAGATCATGAGTTTAGCTAGGTTGATTGTTGTGGACACAGATGAACTACAATGCTGCACTGGGAAAATTCAGCAGCTCTTATCATATGAAACAGTCCCTTCTCTTATAGTTTCAATGGTAAACCACCACAAGAATGACAACTACCATCAAAAACACTATATTCTAAGCAGACATGTTTTAATAAACATAAATCATAAAGTAACATTTGTATTTCAAACAAATGGCAGAGAAAAATTGAACAAAACTCCCTTCACCCTCATGCATCATGGGAATTCTGAGGAACGGACGTGGGCTGTGTGCGCGCAGCGGTTTATTAACGGTGTCAACTTCCACTGGAAGCCTCTCAGAAGCATTTCAGCAGCGGAGCGTGTAGCGTACCCCGCGTTAATGACTTGTTTTTAATATGTCTGTTTTGTGCTTCTACTTCCTTCTTCACAGCTCTCTGCGGCCCGCTTTCTTTCCTCGTCTTGACGGGTGGTCTTGCAACTATCACGGGGAGCATTTCAGAATAAGAGCATTTTGCCTGCCGGATTTTGCTGTCACGTTTAGATTTTGTTGATTAGGTGATTAGTGCTTGCTTTTTGTGCTTCTACTATGATTAAGTAGGCTACATACAAATTGTTTCTTTTTTGAAAATTGACCGGATTCTCTGCCGTTTTTGTGTCTGACTTCCTACACAGTTCATTTGCTGACGCACTGCAGCGCTTCTGGGGTGAGGACAAACCTTTACTATAATGGCAGTGATCAGCTCCGGCAGCTGCGACACAGACGGACTCAGTGGACTTTCGGAGTGAGTTCGGGGTCATGTAAACTTTGTTTAATTGACTTGGTAGCAGGTGGGCCCCATGATGAAGCTCCGCCCCCATTCAAAACTACTATGATAAAATCTTTTTTCAATATGCATGTGTAAAATCTGTTTTCAGTCCCTTTTCCTCAACAAAATAAATATATTAATAAAAAAATTTAATTCTAATTCGTTCATGAGTCAAATAAATTAAAAGTATATACTGAATATATATTGAACATTTATTGAACAATTGTTATACGGTTATTGAGGAAAATGATATTGCGATAATTATCATTACTGTTTTATTGCCAGCCCTGATAAAGACAAAACTGAAGAGGAATAAAGAGAGCTGACTCACAGGGGAAATGGCTAACCGAAGGATGGTCCCGTTCTTGATTTCACTGCGGCTCTAAAAGACAAAGGGAGGAATGTTTCTACACATTCAACACTGATTTACAATGTCATAAACACACGCGTAGGAAGAAAAGTAAAGCTCACCTGCTCAGTGATATAAAGCTGAGGGCCGTCAGCATAACGCAGAGCAAACTGCTCTGAGCCTGACAAAGACCAGCTGAGGACAAGTAGAGAGGAAAGGTCTGTGTTAGATACCTGCTAAGGAAGCTTTGGGACAAAAAGTAAACGTGTTCAACGTATTATGCAGCACACTCCGGTATGCATGAAGACAATGCTGCTGAAAGTTCCTGCAGCCGTTGTATTTACAGGAGTAGAAAACTGAGAGATTGTGGAGGAGAATTATTCAGTGGGTGTAAACAGTAAAGAGCAAAGACTTTCTGTTTCAAATCAGAGGCAGTGGGTGGATACAGCCACGGGGTGGATGGGTGATACAAAATTTGAAAAATTCATACCTACAGTACAAAACAAAAGAGCAGGTACAGAAAAATACACAAAGACAACAGTTAAGCCCAAAACCACAGGTTGAAACACAAGAAGAAATGATAACAGATAAAGGGAAAACAGCAATGGGTGAGAATGGTTATGTAAGGTGTCAACAGTGAGATGTTTCTGTCCGTGTGTGTGAACCCACTGAGGTGCTGTGGTAAAAACTACACCAACTGTGAACGGACTAGGCATCAGCTGCAATTCTCTGAGGTTATTTCACTCTTACATCATAACTGATGGGCCGACATTTTATAACAAGGTAGATTTAAGAACCTCACACTAAGCGTGGTGGTGAGAGCAAGTATCACAGACATTTAGAGTCCTTACACCAGTCAATCAAAAAAACAGAACACTCAGTCGACTTTGAGTCAGAATATAAAACATCTAAGTATAGGTGGGACATTTCGTCTCTCTGGACATCCTGTTGTTCTTGTTAGCAAATAAGTTGAATATGGACCTAAGTGTTCCCCGTGTCATTTGAGTGCCTCTGAGTTAGAATAATAAGCCAGATTATACAAACTATAACACACACTACCATTCATTTCAGTTCTGGTCTTGTTTGTCTACAGTAGTTTGAACTTTAACTTTGTGTCACCTGCAACAAATCTTTGCATGTGATCATGACATGGCTAACCTGTGACTGTACCAATATCCATCCAAATTACTAAACTGCTAACTCGTACACTTGACTTAAAGAGAACATGTTAGATCCTTTAGGTAAAATACAGAGGCAGAACAAAGAGCAGAACACATTGCCAATGTTTAATAATTTGGCATTGAACAGAAAGTCAAAGACAAAATAAATAACATGTGCCTGAGTAATGCTTACCCATCACATACTTCCCGTATTATTGAGGACAAAGGTCTTTTCTGCAAACAGAAAAAAACATTGCAAACATGCAAAATTACAACATTAAATGGCTGAAATGATAAATCATCACTCCTCACCCATGGGCCATGGGTTTTTTAATGTGTCAATGACGACAGCTTGTGGCGAGAGCACATACTTTTAAAAAGCGAAATTACATTTCTTAAATCTATTACGCAGGAAGAGTTATTTGTTAACCATTCAGGTACTTGTACTTGTGCAGCATTACTCATGCCTTTCACATTCGCAACAAATTAAAGCGTTGCATAATTTCCACCATCAACAATTAAATTAAAGGTTCAGCCACTAACAGCTGGTGGAAGTAGTTAATAGAGGCAAACCGGAGTTGTATTTAAGGTCACGTTTTATGCAAATACAGACCTGGTCCATCTCTATGAGCTGAGCATTAGCACCAGGCCATTCAATAGCCACCTTTACAATGTCAGCGGGCGGCGGCATGGCTGTCGTACTGTAGCACACTGTGGAAGAAAAAAAAAATTAGTTTTATCGCTAGTATAACTTTTAGTATTACAACTAGTATTTAGTTTTAAAACTGAATTGCATTTAAATGTGACTCTTAAATTTCCGTTAAAATGATATATAATGAAATATGTTCTAAATGTAAAGTAATTATCATTGTATTGCTATAACTCAGTGCTTTCCTTATTCTGCACTGTTTGGACCCTAGCCGAGTAAAACCATTTGAGTTTCTGGTTTTCAGTCGGATGACTGATTCACTTCAGAATAATATGAACTAAAGGTCATACATCACCTAATGGAGAAGTTGAGGGGGTCAATCACTCTCACAGCTCTGCGGTATAAACCACTGTGTCAGCTCCCCTGTGAACACACAAATCCACACAGCGGTCATGTCAGTGCAAAAACCTTATTTTCCTCAGAGCCCAAAAGCTACTTTTGCTCCATCCCTGCATTTTCTCCGCTCTGAATTGAATCTGTCAGTGAACGGATCAATAAGCATGACTGTTTTTATAAAACCACCCCCCTCACAAACACACACACAAACAAGCACACAAGCCTCTACTAGGTTCTGGGTTTGCTGTGTTTTGTTGCTCTTGACAAGTTATTATCATTGCCAATAAATATGCCAACTACCTTTACAGCCCATTGGTCTTCCACTTTTCTTAACCAACTGTTTTTGACATTTTGCTGCAGAATTTTGTTCCAATCGTTGCTGCATCGTGCACAGCTTGAAGGAGTCAAACCTCTCTTGTGGAGAAATAAAAAGACACAATTTAATACGCAACACAACTCTTTCACAGTGGGACCTCTCGTTAAACCACTTTGCAGAGCCTAACCTCTATATTGGCGTTATCGCTTGCTTTTTAGCTTATCACATCTTATTTGTTGGCCAATAACTAACATGCAGTACAGAAATGCCAAAGGTTGAGGTCATTTATAAAGACATTTGTCGTACATACTGTGTCCACCAGAAGGCAGTGACAAGTTTGTATTTCAACTGTAAAATGTTGCGCTCAGTACATATCCAAACCAACCAAATTTAAGGTATAACTCTATATAACTCAGTTGATATATTGTTTTTTTGTATATGTTCTGATTCTGTATATTGATATCAGCCTTAAACATCCTGTATTGGTTGAGCTCTAGACATATGTGAAAGAAAACGGCCTGATCGTAACCACTATTTGATATCATCATATTTGAGAAACCAGGCTTCCCAGACTCTTTTCACATTCTGATTGTGAGCAATGAATAAATTAATTCCCAATAAACTGTGGGCACAGTACTGCATGCACCAAAAACTGTGAAGAGATTTACAAATGAGAACAAAATGAAATGTAACTGTAACATTTTACTGCTAACTCTCGAGTAGATCACACATTTATACTAACTCAGTTTTTATTGTTACCTGTTTAACTGACATCATCAAAGCCACACTTCTACCCAGAAACATTTCCTGCTAATTTTATTAGCTGTATTACCTCATCTTTAATACTAAAATGTACTTGTGCACTGATGTTTGTTAAACTTAATTCATTATTTGCGACAACTGCTCTAAAATACAACAGCAAGAGTGACACAGCAGGTCTTTGGCGACAGAAAGAGATCTCTCTCTCTTGGCTCTGACGGGAAGCAGGCATGAAAAGCTGTCTGACAGGCTCTGCTGGTGACTGGAAGAAGGTGGTGAATAAGAAAAATGCACTGCTGTTCTCCAAATGGCTCTTTGCATTCTAGGGACACAAAATGCTTTGCACGGCTTACAACTGCTCAAAAGAAATCTTTATCATTACCAAACTGTTACGGGTGAAACAACCCAACCTAAACCACACTGAATCGCCGTCTTCCCTGTCCACTGTCTTCCCTGCGAGTTTACCATTGTTATTGTGACTTTCTAGCACTGCAGTGACAGTCTTTCTGAGGAGCTTGAATCTTTGTCTGATTCTATAAATATGTTCACCTGTCAGTTTACATCAGCAGTGGCTCTGGCGTCTGACACTGTTGTCCTTTGATCACTCCCAGAATGAAGGATATTTTGCTTTCAAACATAAGCTTATTCTTTTGAGACAACAGACTCAGTTGTCTGCAGCTGCTTCCTCTTCATGACAACAACATCTCCAAGTTGGAATAAAAATTTAAGCTGTGGTACTATGAATAATAAGCGTGCCCAAATCCTTTCATCTCAACAACTTTGAACGGCTGCACTGAATTCTCCACATGATTTGTCACAAATTAGAGAGATTGCTACACTGAGACAGGGTGATTTGTATGTGATTAACATCTACTACAACAAATTGAGGTGGATTCTGCAAATGATACAGGGTGAAAACTGCCAATTAAATTCAGATTCCAACCTGCCATCTGATGGAGAGACTGCACCGCCTCCGCATCCTGAAGCGGACTGTCAGTCACATCACATAATGTGTGATCTCTGAGCCTGCGCTGCTGAAAAGTTTGCTCTCATACAAAAAAAAACCAAACATGTTTTCCACAAGTTCTGTACTAAAGAATATTTTACAGCACTGCCATTTGGTTAAAGATTTGCAAAATATTAAGCAGTGTTATAGCTATGTTGTTATCAACGCAATATAGCTGTTTTCCTGTGGGGCCGAGCAGTATGCATATATTATTATGCAGCACATGGACTGCTGTTATTTATCATTCATCATCTATCAATAGAATCATACTGCATTTTTATACAAGTCAGTAAGTGGTTGTCTAAAACAGAGATTTTCAAAATGTGAAACTAAACTGTTTCACACATGGGCTCAGTGAAAAAAATATTACAGTAGTTCCAACATTCGTTTCAAAAGAACATCCCATAGAAGCCTACAGTTGTGTGATTTGGTTAAAGAGAGTTCAGAGATACAGTAGTTTAACATAATCATGATCCCATAGGCATCCAGGAAATGAGCGAAACTAAGCTAATAAGCTAACGGGCACCTTTTTTCCAAGCTTTGGCTGAGGCCCACAGTCTCAGACTTTAAAAACTCCTGGTCTAAAACACTCCAAAAAGTAAATGTATATTTGATTCCTGCATAAACTACTTGTGAAAAAACTGAGAGTGCAGCTGAAAATGAAATTCAAGGGGTGATACAGGTGTCATTTTGTTCCATATCGTCAACTTAAGCTAAGAGAAAATGTTTTCTATTAAAGATGGCAGGTTGTCCTGGCTGTTTATATCATTACTCACTTAAAAGTTAACATAACTTTCAAACAAGCACAGCGGGGAACATTATGGAATTTAAACAGGCATCACGTAATATGACTTTTGTCAACGTCTGTCAGCCACCAAGTAATAACAACACTGTCAGCTCCCTGGTACAGCTTACAAAGGCCCATGATAGACATTAATGAAAAAGTCACATTCTGAAAGCACAATGACTAATGAATTATAGCTTAACCAGGGAAAGGGCTATTAAATGTTAATATATATCTGTACAGAAGAATTGACAATATAAAGCCATTTGCTTAAGGTTTGAAAGCCAGAAAACATTGTGTCCCCGTTAATAGGTCATCTCCTGGTAGTTCTACAGATGAGTCTGTTACTGAAAGCTGCAGCCCCAACAACACCCTCAAATCAGATCTCTGTCTACCAAAGCCTTGCTGATAAACAATCTACCTGACCATAGCAATGCCCTTAATTCTCGGCCACTAAACAAGGTGGTGCCACTCAATGTAATGGCCAATTATTTTCCCCAACATTTTCCAGGTCCCACCCCCTCATTCTGTTCCTTTTATGATGCATAGTAACTGTGAGAAGTTTCATTCAGATATATTAATATTTACTGGTAGCTCAATGGGCTCAATGTTTTTATATTTACTTTCATTGCGATAAAATGTTATTTAATTCAAAATTTCTCTACCAAACTAAATTAATCCTTGAGTAAGTATTGTTATAATTTTTTATATCATTTAACTGTTCTTTTTCATATTCTGATTTGTGTTATTATTTGGTTTAAATACTATGTAATCAGAATAATATTTTTGGGTTAGCACTATTGCAGCCGTAGTCAGTAGTATAGTTAACTCTGTGCAGGGTCGCGAAGGGGCTGGAGCCAATCCCAGCTGTCATTGGTGAACCCTAGACAGGTTGCCCGTTCATCACAGGGCTAACTCATAGAGACAAACAAGTCATACACACGTTCACACCTAAGGGCAAAGAGTCACCAATTAACCTATGCATGTCTTTGGACAGTGGGAGGAAGCAGGAGAACATGAAGAGAACCCACACAGACACGGGGAGAACATGCAAACTCCACTTATGAATACTTAAGTGTTTATTATTAACTTGTAAAGTAACTGTTAGCAGCTATGTGTTTTTTTGAGGAGTTTTACATTATTCTAACTTGTGATATTAAAGCTAATATTACATGATAAAATCGGAAAATGTTGAATATTGTAAAACTTTGTAAGTGTTGAGCTACCAGTAAAAATTATTAGAAAATATCAAATCAAATTTTGTCAACTTAGTTTTTGTCACATTATTAACACATTTAGGGGGTGGGAAGATGAAAATTAGAAAGTTTATTTTTGAGTGGCACCCTAGTGGAGGTGTTGCCTTAATCTATAAGTCTATTTTCAATTTAACCTCCAAACAAGTTTTTAGTAATTCAACTAATTTGAGGCTCTTGAATTAAAGGTCAAGTGTCTACGTTTTAGTGGAATCTAGTGGTATATAGACCAATAGCAATCAGCAGCTCACTGTGTATTCACGGTCCCATTTCCCATGTTGTGAAGTAATTTTTCCGACTTCAATGTGTGTTCATGTGCTCTTAAGTCAGAATGTGGAATCAACATAGACGCTACTACAAAGATGTGTTGGATTCAAGCGGGAACCTCCGGGTCTGAAAAGTGAGGCCACCTGGAAGTAACTTAAACTATCAAACGGCCAGCAAATGGCGATGCCTCTGGTTGCAAAAAGAAGTCTGGTTCCATTAGAAATAATGGTAAAATGAGGCTACTACTTCAGTAAACACTTTCCTAATGAGTTTATGGTCTCAATCATTAGTTTCAAGTTTTCTTCAATCCAACCTGATGTTCATTTAGTAAATTACGGTCCAATTTAGAGGATAAAGCAGCGTATGCCTTAGGGCAGGACTACCTTGTGATTGAGAAGTCGTTACCATGGCGACCTGACAATCAGGCTAGGGGCAACTCATATCCACAGCACTATGTAAATTTAACCAGCAGCACTGAAAAAGCTTATATGGGGTCAGCTGTTAATTTTTCCGGTAAATACGTTTTGTTTTAAGCCTTTTTTAAGCCACAATTAGCATCCCGGTTAAAATCACATTTAAGTGCAATATATACTTCTGCGTCAAAACGACAGTGTTGGTGACGGCGTAGGCTACAGGGCTGGGAAGCCCCGCAATGCCTCCGAGCCGACAGGAAGTGCCCGTGCTTTGTAACACGGTGGATCAATATACTTGACCATCACAACCCGAGTGAAATGACTCGTTTCACTATCAGAATGTGATCCAAACAAACATCCAACATTTCAAAAGGCTACACCAGCCACACGTATACAATTTTACCCCCATTCACGTTAGTGGAGGGCTAAACCGGGAAGTTAGCCTGCTCGGCCGTATAAATAAGGCCTAAAGCTTTTCTGGTACGTCTTGAAACGCTTGGTTTCACTCAGCTGGTGCTCACTGCAGTGGTAAAACCCTTGACTAGATTCTATCACGCAGGATGGAGGTTTCTGATCTCTCCTTTCACATCTGTGGAGTCAGATCATTTTCTTATTAAATCTGAAGCGACACTAGCCTGTCCTGTTGGTGCTGATCTATTCACCACTGGCCACTTTGGTCCGTCAACTTTAACTGCACTTGGCGGGTGATTTCCTGTAGTCCTGGCTCCTTTCACTGCATCCGATTAAGACGACCTTTTCTACACAACATAGCTAAAATTGTGTTTTTCCTGTCCTGGGCTGATGCAGAGACCCTTATTCACGCCTTTGTCTCATCTGGACTTGATTTTTTGTAACTTTTTACTAGAACAGACATCAGACAGTCTGACTCTGTTGGGGCCTTTAAAACCAAACTTAAAACTCATCTTTTCGCCTTTCAGTTAGTTTCTTATACCTTGATCACTACTATCTACTACTACGTCCTCCAGGAGATTCAGCATCTTGTGTTTGTTTCTTTTCTCCTACCTGTGTGAACGGTGTGTTTGTGTAGTCTGTCCTCTTTTGTGTTGGAGAGGTCCTGTGGCTCAGGTCTGTTAGCTGTCCTCCCAGATCTAGATATATACTCCATGTATGTTTACAATTAGGGCTGAACAAATAATCAAAATCGCAACATGGCCTGCTAATTATTATCAAATTGCATGAGTTGCAATATTTGTTAAAGGCAAAATGGGTGTCAAATTCCATTTTAAATGAAATATTATTGTGTTGCAGAGATGTCCTGGCCTACACATCATATTCTGCAGACTTCAGAAAACATCTTTGTTTGGTACAGATCCATCCATCGTCAACCACTTATACAGCTTACAGGGTCTTAGGGGGCTGGAGCCAATCCTAGCTGACATGGGGCAAAAGGTGGGGTACACCCATCACAGGGCCACACAACCACTCTTTTAGAGACACCAATTAACCTAGCCTGCATGTCTTTGGATGGTGGGGGGAAGCTAGAGCACCTGGAGAGAACGTGCAAACTCCACACAGAAAGGCCAGGGCAACCCGGATTTTAACCCACAAACTTCTTGGTGTGAAGCAACAGTGCTAACCACTGCACCACCACACTGCCCTATTTTGGTACAGATCATTGCAAAAATCACATAATTTAATTATACTTTTCAATGAAAACGAGAATAATAAGTTTTTTTTGATCATTCCCTCCAATATTGCAGATCATATCTATAATTTTGTCCTCCTGAATGTCCACAATGTAATTTTACTATGTTGGTCTATTTTGTACACGACATCTATTGCATGTCTGTCTGTGGCTCTTCCTGAGGCAAAATACCTCAAAAGGGTCCCGCTGGTTTGTATTGCATTTAAAGGTGTTTCTATTTTCCTGGTGGCTCATGACAGAACAGAGATGCACGCTGGTGAGTGCAAAGTGAAACGATGGAAACCTGTTTTCAATCCGTGTTGTTTCCTGTCATCTGACTGGTAGGCTGTGTGAATGGGTTACTGGGAGGTTTCAGCAACAGTTATTAGGCTGCACAAGCTGTGGCTGTAGTATAGCAACAACTCACTGCAAATGAGCTCTAGCCTGAAAAGAAATCCCCCAGTGTGGTCTGTGGGTCTGAGCTTCATTTCAAAAGACTCCCAACTTTGTCGCCCCCCCCCCCCCGATACTCTTCACCGCGACCCGGATGTTTCTGACGCCATTTTGCTTTGCTGTAATGTGGTTTGGGGCTCCTGTGTCGGCTGGTTCACATCAAACACTGACACATGTATCAGGTTGTGAAGCCCTAACTTTAACATTAGCTAGTTAGCTAGTTCAACACGCGGAGTGGCGCCCCCTCTGGTTACACTGCTTATTAAGAAATGGCTGCTCCCTTGGTGGAGAAAAACAGCGATGGAAATTTTCCTGTAACCTTTTCAATTAAAAAATATGATTTAATTTAGATGCATTTTCTCTTTTTGCATGAAACGCGATAACACAGCCATCAGCGCATGTCAGGAGATTTGTTGGCACGATCTGTTTGCTATTATCTCTGAGACATTGGCAGTCACTGATCATGCCGTTAATACACTCTTCTTCTATCAGACCTGAAAACTGACTTAAAAAAAGGTTTAAAGGCCTGATTATATGTGATCGACCATGCAGGGTTTAATAGTAGCCAGAAGAAGCTCACAGACTGATGCAGCGGCGGCTGCTTTTGCAGCCTTATTGTGGTCTTTAGCGAAATCAATCACAGAAATATCGGTCATATTAAACAGCGGCTAACACAGACAGCACCCCTCCTCCTATTATCCGTCTCAAAGTAACACTAAACAGCAAACTCACTCGCTATTACACTCAGTAGCAGCGTTATTCCTCAAAAGGCGGCTAGTGGAATTTAGTCATCCTGCCAGTCCCTGTCTGCTCCTCCATTGCAGTCCTGATGCAGCCGTCTCCCGTCCAGATGATGTCCTGATGCTTTCCGGCTCCACTTTGAACGGCTTATATTGAAGGGTAACTCAGCCGCTAATGTCGCTGCTCAGTGTTACTCACTCTGACTGCGCCATCGATGATGCTCTCAGTACCCCCCTCTCCTCTCCAGTCCGATACTTTGGGAAAGGAGACACAAGTCCACGCCTTGTAGGCGGGACGCGATGTAAATGTCACCGTCTGCACACCAGACTGACTGACATCTTCCTCAAATACAGTTTGTTGCTGTGGCGAGGATGCGACACCGCTATTTGTGTGTGTATTTGACTGATGTAGGTGCAGTAACTGAGTGAAGGCAGGGGTGTATTACTGAGGCTTAATTAGGAATCCTACTGTACACAGGATGTGGGCATCAGTGAATCATATTTAAGAACACTTGTGATCAACAACTTTTTTTTTTATCTTATTTAATTCAAATTTAATTTTCTTCCTAAGTTGTTTGTATGATTCAAGCCCTAACCAAGAACCTAAAACTGAGAGTATCACTAAATAAGATGCCAAACCAAAAAATAAGTGACCCCCATGCTTTTCAGATGTTGGCCTGGTTACCTGTGATACTTCATGGATCATAAACTTAACATTTGACTTGGAAACATCTTATAGGCACAGCTGCATTGAATGCCAATAGCTATAATCGATAATTATGTTTGTTTTTTTGCAAAAATGTGAAAAGACAACAAAGGCAACATTTTAGAGTGACCAGTTTGTTTCCCCACTTTCACTAGCAATTTTTTACTTTTGACTTCATCAAATGTTTATCTTTTTCTCTCCTACAGGCAGCAATGCATTTCAAATCAATTCAAAACACTGTATGGCTGGAGAGCCCCCGTATTTAACATGATGACATAATTAACATAAGATTCTTTGTTGCATGAGTCAAGAGTCTGACATGCTGACATGCATGCAGATATTGGCCACATTGTTCATCTGTAAACCTTTGTTACGCTTGTGTAACATTTTGCCAAACAAACTAGCCCATCATTTAACAACATATCTCTTGGACCCAGAGCAACCAGTCATGTTTAAGGACAGTTGTGTCTGACCAACATAAAGTCAACAAAGGACTCTAGAATCTGCACCACATAGGAAGAAAGTATAATACCACTGCATTCACGGCACAATACGTTTTTATTGAGCACAGAAACCATGTGTACAAGAAAAATATCCACAGCCTCAACGGAGTATGTAAAGATGGCTCACCTCATGAGATGGCTGCTGGTGAAACTTGAAGGGGAAAGCAGACAAATGCACTTAAATTCACAGAGGAAACAACTTTCATAAAACCAAATAACAGCCAAATGTTTCTAGCTCCACATTACATCTCATGCATGACATCAAAAATAGCATTTCTGACACAATAGTTTCATCAACAAACATGGACATACCCCATCTCAAATGTTCGACAGGCACAGACACTAAGCTAAACTGCTGCTCGAGAAAGTTAAAGTTTAGAATTAGATTCAGATTTCATCAGGTTTATAAAAGAAAAATCATCACCTTATACCAAGACCTATTTGATGCATTTTAGTTAGTAACACATTCTGCAGTTTATCCGTAAATCAAGTGTACCAGTAACCTCGACAGGACATTCACCAACAGAAAAAGTTGTGGTATTTGAGAACTATAAATTCTTTTACAGATTTCAGACCAGTGACTGTTCAAATATTTCCATGTTATAAACTGTCAAATATCTCAGCACAAAGTCTTCCATTCATTTCCTGGCAATGTATATGTTGCATGTCAAGCCATAATAAAAAAAAAAAAAAAAAAAACTAAATATCTGACATAAAGCTTCAGTAATATATGGAAGGAGGCTGAGAGTAACAATAAATCGTTTGACATCTGATGGTAGTTTACTGACATGTACACCTCACTGCATCAGACACACAGGCAAACTGACATCAACAGAAAGCAATCACAGCTGTTTAAGGTTTTTTAACACATGGCCATACATGAGCACGTTAACTGCAGAGGTTCAGCGACACAAGGAGTGATCTTTTTTTTGTTTCTCTTTACACCATTGCAGCGTCACAGAGAAGAGACTGCAGACCAGTCTTTGTTACTTTGCTTTAAAACTTTCAGCAAAAACAAAATGAGCTGCAGCAAACTAAGCCTGCTGTGATAAAATCTACATCAAAACAACGCTGAAAGGTTAGGGTAAAAAAAAAAAAAGAGCATGTTCCCTACTGAAAACTTGGCAGTAAACTGAAGACTTCTTAGAGGTAGGAAATGGATTTATTCTTCACGTGTTAAAACCTCTGATACTAAAATTGTATTTTTTACCAATCATGAGGCCCAATGAGCACTGCCTACAGGAGGTACAGCAGGGTGTTATAACACACTAATAACAAACATAATCCAGCAGCTTTATTGCACTGGTACACTGCTCAGGGGGCAGTGAATAACTGACTACTGGCTTTTTCATGAACACAGACACTGAGCTCAAAGAATCAGATGCAAACCAAGCATGTTAAAATGTCTTCTGATGTCTGTAACTTGCTATCTGCTTGTTGTAAACTTTTAAACAAATGTAGACAAATCAAACCCAAACCTGGAGTTGGAACTGGTTCAAACTTAATATAAATTGGGGTTTAGTTTGAGTGGTTTGCATCATTCACGAAGGCTGAGCATCTGTAGGTTATTACATGTACAAAGAAAAGAAACTTTACAGTACGACAAAGTTGCAACACCTCATGTTACAAGTAATTAAAGGCCACATAGGGAACTCAGTTGTTGCACATCGGCCTAGTTCTAAAACCTCCACAGCTAGTTTGAATTATTATATGATTAAGAGTATCAGGCTTGTAAAATACCCAATTTTAAACCGATTACGTTACTTCTTGTTAAAACAGTGAGCTTTTCATGATACATTGGTATCTACGGTGGACAGTGGGAGTGCAGCTGCCTTTTTATCTGACTGAAGAATGCACTAGGTGGGTTAAATTAATTCATTACAAGTGCTTGAGAGCTATGACCATCTAAGCATCCGGCGTATAATGAGCCTCATTTATGTCACTCCACACTTCCGATGTTTATACAAGAGTGACGACACCGAAACCTCACAATACATAACAGGCAAGGTGCAGTAACACAGATGTGGAGAAGGGGTCACACACAGTTGCTTCATACGAGATTAAATTTACAATAACCTGTTGTTCAGTTTAAGTCACACATTACAGTCTCACCGGCCAACACCATGCAGTTGACATTGTCATCTAGAGTCCCCATCTGTGTCCAGTTATTGAGCTTTAGACAAAATTCCCAAATGCTGCGATGTGAGAATAATATTGCGAAATTACGAACGAAACAACTGCTGAAGTCCAACAAGTGGTTTTTGTAATGTGAGCCATTACTTACTGTTATGTTATTTTAAAGAGGATGAAAGTTTGTCCAAATGCCTGGTCCAACCTGAGCCTGGGTTACTTTATTTGAAAGTTAGCCGGCACTTAATTTCAATTCAAATAGTATCAGACAGCTTTAAGGTAGAAGGAAAAAAGGAAAAGGAAAAAAAAACAGTATTATTAAGTTATTATATTTATTTATAAGTATTATTACAATAAATTCCCCTCCTCTCCCCAAGTAGATTAATAACTATTGGCAGGGATTGTGACATTTTATTAGAATTTAGTTTTATTTATTTTTTATCAACCAATCAAAACTGGTTTCAATAGCTCATCAGTCTTAAAAGAATTGCATCCATTTCAGCTCGTCTACCAATGTGATACCATCAATCCATCGTCAACCGCTTATCCGGCGTACAGGGTCGCGGGGCCAATGTGATACAATACATGTAATTATCATAAAGCAACATATCCATTTTCCCAAAGGGACAATTTTTAATATACTAAATTTGCTCTGAACAGACTGAATTCATCTTGATAGCATCATAATGATGCATCAGCAGCTCTCTGATTTCAAACCCCTTTACTGTTTACACATCTCTAAGAAAAACATATAAATAAACAAAAACAATAATACTATAAAAAGGTCACTTAGCCATACCTCTTTACACATTAGATTGTTTCATTTAAATGTTATATATCCAGATGGATTTTTGATTAATGGTAGCCAGTTTGTTACAGTGGTTATTATTTCCTTTGATTTAACATAATACGTTGTGGCCACACTGTGGAAAAGGGCTCTTTTCTGTCAAAATCAATTTTACAAAAACAAACTGTGCAAAAGGTCCAGAACAAATCAATCTGATTAAACAGAAAATAATGTCTTTAGTGTTTAGTCAATCATACTGTATCTACAAAGATTTATATTTACAATGTTAGATTTTCTCTTGCATGCATCATTTTTTGTGTGGTGAAAACCATTATCATATTCTATTTGGGGAGCCCAGGCAGTTATGACCATTTCTACACTGATTTATCTTAGTTTGTTGTGATGGAGGTTAATTTACAATAAAAATAAATGACCACAAGTCAATGTAGTTGTACATTTTACGAATATTAATCTTATGAGCTCAGCTGTACCCAGAGCTTCATTATTGTTTCTTGGGTTTATAATAAATATATTTTGAATGGATTGATAGGAATTAAGCTGATGCAGGTCTTTCCCTGAAAGTGCCAGTGAGATGAACGGAGAGAGAGAAACACAAGGGAAAAGGCCAGAGGCAGGACAAAGGTGAGGAGATGTATGGTTGTGGTTGGTCACTACCAGTCTGCATTATCCCAGGCTTCCTCAGCAGGTTTTGTGGGACTCTTCTTCGTCTTGCCCTCCGCGTTCTCCCAGTTGTTGTCCCAGGCCTCCCAGCTCTCCTCTGTGCTGTGCTTGTTGTTGGACGCTGCTTCGGAGCCCCAATTGTCCCAACTGTCAGAGCTCTTCTTTGCAGAATTATCTGCGATGGTCCAGCTATCGCTGCTGGGAGATTTCTTGGCCTTTAAGGAGTTGTTGCTGCCAAAGGTTTCCCAGAAGTCCTTTGCCATGGGCTGGCTAGAACTGCCCTGATATCCCTCAGTGGCATCCATGTTCTGGTAGCTCTCACCAGCAGACCTGCAAAATATGAATAGTACATGTTCCATAGCATTACATCACACAGGACATTTTGTATGTGGATAGGGCTGGGCAATATGGCCAAAAATGTTATCACCTTAATGAATTTCAAATCATTTGATATTGATAATTATCACGATAAATGTCAA